GGGCGGTTAGTAAGCTTGGACTGATGGGATGGACAGCTGCCAGCGTTCTTCAGTGCGATCCCAGCGCGGTAGAATCGAGTCACTCGGACGACTCTTGACGAGAACCGTACCAGAGGCTATAGGACTAAGACACCTGTTATATGTGGATTGGTGAGGCTCCACATTTATTAAATGTACGCAATGTTTGTGTTCGTAGAATGCATGTGCTTGCATCGTATGTTGCCCGACAAAACCTTAAATAAACCACGATTGTTTGATATCAAAAATTAGATATGCCACGTAAGGTCATTAACCTACAATAGCCAAAGTCAGGCCATGGCTGTCAGCGAAGACGAAGGAAATAGGGATAGCGTAGAAAATCGTTTAATCCGATACGACAACGGTTAGCTAGACGGAAATCATACAAGTTTCAAATAGTTTATTAGATGCTTAGGGAACCAAGATTAGGATTGCTACCAATTCCATTGGCCTTCGGTCGGGTACTGTGGTCAGGCCAAGGTCAAAACAAAACCGCTGTATTCATGGAAAACTTACTTCATGGGATGGGTTCTAAGGCTCATTTTGAATTCCTTGATCACAGGATGTTAGCAAACATCTAAAAAGTTGACTTAAGGAAGGTTAGGGGAGGTCACTGACCTAAAATAAGCCCGATATTTTTACACTTTAAGGAGCATGCCGCCTAGCGTAGCTTCTGACGGTAATTCTAAATTCAAATATCAAAACGATTTTAATTTTTTGGGTCATGTTGAGCTTTTGAAGGTCAAATAAAGTGATAAACCCGATGTGAGATTGAGGAATAATGTCTTTGACGAAGTGTCGGGGTGAAAACTGGTTGCGTGAGAAGGTCTTGGGGGTCTTTCGACACCAATCTGGGATTATCCTTTTTTGACCTTATGTGACAAAAAATTACGGTGAAGGGACCTGACAAGTAAATATCAACAAGCTTGGATACTTTTCTACTTACCCTGATAATTTGGTGTGTCCAGCTTTTTTAGTATTGGAGATATCATGGGGTTACATTGCGCGTCGCATTCAACTAACCACCCGAACGCGTGTAAACCACGTGGCCAAGGTTAACACCCCGTGGTGTCTTCAAGTTTAAAGACTGCACCAGCGCTGGCGATTGGTGCGATATGAACTCGTTGCCGCGCCAGGCAGGTGTCCGGCCAGTCGGACACCTGCCTGTTGTCTCCAGAGTTCAGGGCAGTGTCGTTGGTGGGGCGAACTAGTGTGTTGCTATCAAGTGCGAAAGGCCGTTGGTCGGTTTACCGTGTCCGCTATTCGCACAATTTCACGGGAGCAGACCTCGGAAGAAATCTGGTTAGCCTCTGAAGCTAATCATAATTTTATGCGTAAGGAGGTAATTAAACAAAGTTAATGCAATGTACATGTACTACGTTACAAGACAAGAAAAAATCGACGATTAGGAAATCTAACTCACAATAGTGTGTACCTAATCGATATATGAACATCAAATTTGAGCTGGCCTTTAAACAATACAACATCCTGGCCTTTTCCACGCAAGCATGTATCCTACCCCGTAAGTTGTTCAGTGCACTAGCGAGGAACGTTATTCACGTAGATAAAACAGCAGTATGAGCCCTATTCCTCGGAAAAACCAGGAGAACGGAGATATAGTTAGGTTGATATTTCGGCAACATGCCCTTATCGAAACCTCTATCTTCTGGTATTGTTAAAGGCATAATGCCAAAATACCAACCTACTATATCTCCATTCTCCTGTTTTTTTCCTCGAGGAATAAGGCTCATACTACTGTCTTATTCAACCTCGTGGTCGTCCTCCCAAGTAACATGCATGCAGAACCCAAGTGTGTGCGAGCATTTAACCCTTGCCCTGATTGGGGTCGATGTGACCCCCAAGGGTTTTTAGAATCCCTCTCCGGTGTGCTGTGCGAACGCGTCCACATGCTCCGTATCCTATGGGGCATTCACATTTCACGTGTGTTGACATCAAAAACATTTTCCTAACTTTTCTGGTTTGGGAGCAGTGAGGGTTTTTGCGAAACACTGCACGGCGATCGACGGCCGGTGTGGGCGACGGGCTGTGGATTACCAAAATTTATGTTCCAAACACATAAGAGTGTACACCGCTGTACATCAAATTGAAAAGGAAAACGCCTGCTTATATCTTGTGTCGTCATGCGGTATGGTATCGTATGTATTCGTATGCACCTGGCAAAATCGGGTCAGTTAATGACCGAAGAACATACAAAACTGGTACCAATCGTGAGACCTTGTTGAGACCAATCCAATGGTGGTTTTCTCTAACCTTGATCTTTACTAGTTTGGAGACGCCAGGGATCATCATGAACTGAACTGAATACGAACTAAATACAGAATCAAACCCATTCTTAAATGTTTGCTCCGAAACCGCTGAAAGGAAGGATATTGGGATCAGAACTCACGCTAAGCGGCGCTTTTTAAGTGAGCCCTGGCCCCTACCTCCTATCATGAAATGCTATGGTGGGGTCAAGGCGGTTTAAACACTCGCTCAAGTTCATGAGATGCGCTAGCGCTATAGGAGCTGTGTGATGACTCTCGATAGGAACCAGGGCACTTTGTCTAACGTTTTGGCCATTTTCGCCATTTTCGGCCTGATGCACGAAATACCCAAGGCTCGAGAGCTATGCTGCTGCCGTGCTCCCCTTTCAAATGACGTCATACGTTTGGCAGCTCGGCGCATAGCCGGCGCTCGCACCGGGCTTCTCAAAAAGCTGCGATGTTTTTTTTTGCCTTGATCTGTGTAAGCACAGCACGGTGATCTTAAGATGATTTGTGTCGGGCGGGGCGACACTATCAGCTCGCCCACACACATTCACTTTCGCTTGGCGCCGCTTACATGGCGCGTTTGATTACAACAGGTGCCGGAAAAAAACCGCGGGGCGGCTGAACGAAGCTCACTGCGCTACCGACCAAATGCCAAATTCCGTTCTCCAGCGGGTGGCCGGCTGGGCTGCAGGTCTCTTTGCACCGGATTGTTCGCAGGGAGGATCTTGTCCGACCGACAGAATGTCGCCTTCGCACGCGCCGGTATGTCATCCGCCGATCTATCGATGTATTCTATTTTTTAATATAAAATGATGTATACACTCCGGTGGCCGCGTAATGAGCGCGCTGGCGTTGCAAGCTTACTAATGTGGAAAGTGGATGCACTGGCGTGAATCTCATCAGACCGGCCATCATATTCCTTTTCAGGTCATTACCTCTGCTCCCGCGTAGATCGACAGGATTTAGTACAAATTGCATGCTCGACACATGCAACAGCTAAACGTCACATGATATAAGCAAGCAAGCAAGCTATTGGGCTCTTGCTTTTTCAGATGCGCTATAAGTTTGTAGTTCTCATGCTGTCAGCCAATGGTCCTCAATATGCCGAGAGGCACTGGCTAAGCGACGTCATCAAGACAACATTGTTGAGGTTCTCAAAAATAGACGTTTCAAGCTGTGGTCACGGCTACTTGCCCCAAACTCCGGCCTGTGGTATTTGCAGGCAAAGCCTTTGTACGTAACCCGTGCGTCAGTTACCGTAACCGTCAGCGCAACGTCAGCAATCCACGCTGAAATCATCGACAGGCAACTGTCCTTTTTGTCCTTGTCCTTTTGTCTTTGTCCTTTGGAACAAGACGGCGTGCGGGCTTCCCATGAAACCCTCCCCTGTATGCCCAGCGGGATGTCAAGGGCTTGTATTAAGCTTGGACTTCTACTGACAGCTACCGATCTTCAATATACCAGTGGGTACTGGTCAAACGACGTTATCAAGCAAACGTTGGTAACGTTGGCAGTACTGGACGCTTCAAGCTGCAGTCATGGGCACGGTTGAGCAGCACTAGCAAAAATATTGCATTTGAAGATCGAGACAGATGATTCCGAAACACTCTCGAGATCTTTCGATACACTGCCACTACTAAGAAGTCAAAATCATGAATAATCTGATCTCTCGCATCCTAACAACCAATACAGGGTCCAACGCTGAGGACTGCGCGAAACACGGGTGGCTAAGCTTGAAGGTTGCGATGAACCTTACCTAAATAGACTTGAGTAAGACAATTGCTTATCATAAACATCAGGATCGAGAGCTTGGGCGTGAGAACCTGGATACCCGGGATGTTGGTCAGGTTCGCACAGTGTTCATGGTGCTTGTTGGATAACTTCAAATAAGATTCCAGAGATCATGGTGCCGAAAAGCCAGGACTCCGAGGCATTTCTTGCTGTATAAAGAACCTTTAGACCAATTTTCTGATCAAAGCGCATTCTAGTTAATAGTTTGATGATCTCAGGACAGCCGCGCATCGCGCATCGCCCTAATGTTGACTCCACCGAGCTCAGTTCAAACACAGTTTGCGGCCATTGCATTACTCAGGCTTTTAATCATATCCGTACACTTGGAGCCCAGCCGGGGGCGCAGCCAGAATTTGCAACGGGGATTTGCCGCAATTCGTAATGAAGGAGGAGAGGGGGTATCTTTTACCGGCGAGTCCTAGCCCCATGGTGAGTACCGATACACTGCAGACTAAAAAACCCACAAGCGCTAATAGGCACGGTACCTAGCGTGTCAATTACTATCGAAATTGGATTGCCCTGGCGCCTCGAACGATTGTATGAGGCGCGCACCGTTCACATTCACTCGACTATCCAACAGTACTGCTAATTACTCACGGCTATTGGGCTCGACATGTCGCCGCCCGTGGCAAAGTCTATTAGCTTTAAAACCAAAATAGTTGTCCTGACCACCAGGTTCCGAAATTACATTCAGTTCGATCGTGGTGAAGAACCGCGCTCGAACCTGGCGGGAGGAGGAGGGATAAAGCCCTATGAGTCCCCCTCCCTTGGCTGCGCCTGTGAAGTCAGAGCTGCGGATCAAAGCCTGCCCGCTTGGCGCCGCGTTGGCACAATTGGTGCGCAGTCCACAGCACGGCGCCACTGTCGCGCCGGTGCGTCGGTGCGATGCGTCGCCGTCCGCGTCGGCAGCGGCCGCGGGATCGCCAGTGCCGCCAGTCAGTTCGTTGGTGGGGCTCCCGCAGCGGGGAGCGCCTGGAGACATCGCTGGTGGGCAGGCGGCACGCCCGCCCAACACTGGTGAGTATTGGTCGGCCACCACGTGGTTTGACGTGCGGTCAAACAATGACCCAACGCATTACTCGGAAACGTGTAGTGATAAATGCCATGTGTGGTTGCGTGCAGTTTCTGAAAACTGGTCCCGGCCCTTAGGAGAGAACAAAAGTCATAAAATCACGGCGTGTAGCGAGATTAAAATAGCCCAGGTGAACTTGTACTGTGTACACAACTGGCACTGTGTGACGTTCTGAGGCAGTAGCTGACAGTTAGCACCATGCACTAGCTGGTCTCAGTGGTTGTCAAAGACTGTTGAAGGCTGGCTGCTTGTAATTCTTAATTTTTCTAGCTTCCTGAGTGTGTACTTTCTTCCTAAGTGCATGCTCACACCTACTGTGCTTTGTAAAGCTATGGAGCGCATAGGAGCTATTTATATTAACAACTTTATTCTAAATGTGTAAGTCTTGATTAAAACTGATAGAAACCAACGCCCAAAATGTGGCGCACCTGTTAACTAATTCCCAAGAGCACATTATGAAAAAGATGATTGAAATGCCATGCAAAGGGACAGACGCTGGGGCAATGTGATACCCACCTAGGCCCCTACTGACCTCGATATATTTTGCTCTGGAGCAGGGCTGTAGTTTCTTATTCAGCTGGATGGGACTCTAGCCCTCCTCCCCTCTCCAAGTTTGAAAAGACATTTGGTCAAAGTCAGGGAAGACATGGCTCGCACTTTTTATTTGGGCTTAACTATTTTCTCCGTGCACCCTCCACAAAGTTATGTATAATACTACAGCATCTGGGAAGTCCGACCGCCGCATGATCGGGACTCTTAGGTCAGTGCAGCAGGGGCGGAGGCATTGTTTCCTCCTCAGAGCGGGCCATCCCTTCATAGTTAGCACCGCTACATCTACTCACCAACGTTCAGTCTGATTAGAGCAATAGAACACTGGGTACTTCAGATTTTGTCTAGTAGGTATCCACATGCTATAAATGTACCAGAATCAGGATTAAAACAAGATTTAGGATGTTATACCAAAAGTTGGCAGTGCTGCGCTAGCAGCATATTTGCTTTGTGGCGATCAAGCGTAATCGCGTTTATCAGTCGCAAAACGCTTCAAGTGCGGCGCGTTGGTGAGACAGGTGGCTGGAGGATCGGATTGTTTTAAAGTAATTTCAGAGGCCTGTAGCCTAATCTAGTATATTTTTTTCTGTGCCAGGTTACACTATGTATCGGTTTACACATCGTGACTTATTTCAAACATTTTAAACATTCCCAGAACTCCATAAAAGTTTCGTCTGCTTACCGTCTGTTTTGACTTTAACTGTTTTAATTGTTTTTGTTTTAACTTCTGTTTAAGATTCAAAAGCATTTCGGTGTTTTTTTCGGTTTTGAATGGTGTCCCTACTAGGTACTCGCGAGAGGCACCATGCACTGGACCTCGGATCCCACACCAGCCAGCTGGCGACGAACGGTTGTCCCCCCCCCTCCCCTCCCCCAAAACTCCAGGCTTGATCCGCCCCTGGAGTCCAACCGAAAACCGCCCGCCGCACGCCACCAAAAACATGCCCACCATTCAAACTAATGGGCAGTACAGCAGTCAGCTGCCTACATGAGCAGCTTCATGCCGTCAAATATGGCAAACATGACGGCTTTGTGTCCAGACTACCTCTTTTCTCACTCAGCTCCGTGTTGCGACTTTCCGATAGCGTTGAACGATGCGGATGACACTCTCTGGGCCTGTTCGATGCGGTAGATTGGCGTATGCGGCAGATGCTATTGGCGATGAGGCACGCATCTCACGATAAGCGATAGTCTTAGTGGATCGTGGAAAACGGTCCAAAAGCTATACAAACTAAGAACCTAATCGTAAACGAAGATTGCCTCATACAATGCACGCTTTGTAACACATGACATACATACAGCTCAAATTCGAATGTAAACTGCAAAAAACATTGACCACTCACTTGTGTGGTCCACATCACATCGCCACATCACATTGTCCACATCAGCATCGCCTATTCGTTGGATGTTTCTAAAACTTATGGCCCAAAATATAGAATGCATACAATTTGCTCTAAGGCCTTGGCTAACTATAATCATAGCATTGTCAATTTAAAAAAGTTATGTTGCAACCGCGTAATACTTGACACTGAGACAGCTTTTGTGGCGTGGGACAAGCGAGGTCATGACATACGTGACTGGCGTGAGACGAACGAATTGATGACATACGTGACTGGCGTGAGACGAACGAGTTGATGACACACGTGACTGGCGTGAGACGAACGAGTTGGTGACATACGTGACTGGCGTGAGACGAACGAGTTGATGACATGCGTGACTGGTGTGGGACGAGCGAGGTGATGAAATACATGACTGCTACTGCCATGCAGATGAAAACGAAGCGCGGATAAAGAATCTTCGGGGACACCTACAAATAGTCATCATTATAGCGTTAGAGTATTTCTGCTCCAAGCCTTTGCGGGAGATGGGCCCGGGCGACGGTAGCTAGCGTTCGCATTTAATTCTATGCATAACAGTAGGTTTTGAGCCTTGCAATGTGCAGTAATTTTAATCGGTAAAATCAGGTTAACATTATTGCTGGCGGTAATTAAGACATTGCGGACAATGAAAATGTTTCAGGCATAATGCTATTTTTTTAGACATTGGTCACAGGGACCAGGCCTTTTGCCTATGCCTGCCTATGTGGTCTTGGTTCCTTAAGTTTATTTTGCTTAGATCGCGGCTTCTTGTGTTTGCTTGCGTGGCATGTGCATTTGTTTTGAAAAGCGATCTTGCCAGCTGGAGGCGCTGTAGGCGTCAGCAGCCTTCTGCTTAGCGTAGAAAAAACGCGGGAGCCGCTTGTCTTCTAATTCACTATTTTTCCGACGTTACGTCCGTCTGTCTGTAAACACGGACGGTGCGTCTGGCTGTTTGTGCACACATATAGTACGTCTGCCTGTCTGTGGACACATACGATGCGTCTGCCTGTCGGCGCACACATATGATATGTCTGCCTGTCTGTGGACACATGCGGTACGTCTGCCTGTCGGCGCACACATATGATATGTCTGCCTGTCTGTGCACACATGCGGTACGTCTACCTGTCGGCGCACACATATGATATGTCTGCCTGTCTGTGCACACATGCGGTACGCCTGTCTCTGCACGCAGATGTTGCGTCCGTCTGTCTGTGTACACGTACCGTGCCCCTGTCTGTCTGTGCACACCTGTCTGTTGAGTCTACCTGTCTGTACACGTACGGCGCGGCGCCTACCTGTCTGTGCACACATGCAGTGCGTCTGGGGACAGATGATGTGTTTGTCTGTCTGTGCACACATGCGGTGCGTCTGCCTGTCTGTGCGCACCGATGATGTGTCTGCCTGTCTGCACACATGCGGTGCGTCTGCCTGTCTATGCACAACTATGGTGCGTCTGTCCGTCTGTCTGTGCACACAGGCGCTACGTCTGCCTGTGTGTGTACACAGATGGTGCCTCTGTCTGTCTGCGCACATGCGATGCGTGTGCCTGTCTGTGCACGTATATGGTGTGCATGCCTGTCTGTGCACACTTGCGGTACGTCCGCCTGTCTGTGCACGCGGATGCGCAGCACAGGCGGTGCCTGGAATGCCCCGAAACGTACTCATTCGATGGGTTCAGCATGCGCAACGATCCTCGACACAAATTCATGCCCATCCGATACCCGTGTTGGTCAAAGAGTGTGCAAAAAGGGCTATTTTTGCACTTAGCGCGTTGGTACTTTTGGTATATGTAGACGACCTAGGACCTTTGCAAATGCCCAGCCGTTGGAACCATATTATGGCGAGGGCAGTGGTAAGTTGAAGGTTCTCATTGACAAAAAAAAACGTTATGTCTCTGGTGTAGGTGAATGCGCCGTTCACATTCTGAAGTCTGCTATATGCTATACATTTTTCAACTAAATGCCTTTAATCTTCATGCCATTTTAACTCCGTAACGTGTATAGCTATTACATTAACAGACGTCCGAAGACTAGCTGATGAGCATTCACAAACTGTACTTCCACCTCCACAATGACCCACGTGGCCTCCGGTCGGCGGGACTGAATGTGGAGCAACCCTCTCGAATTCCTTCGAGTTTTGGCGTTCTTGTAAGCAACCAATCAGTGACTGGCCAAATCGAGAAACAGTGTCATGCTTTTTAGCTGTTGACGTTGCGGGTAGAGATGAGCCGGACTCTGGATTCGTTATGTTCTCGCTATTTTCCCAAATGCGGGCGTGTGTAGTGTGCCACGCCATGCAGGTTGTGCTTACAAGCTCCCAGGACGACAGAAATAGGCAATACGTCCAGCCCTCTGGCGGAGCAGTCCACAGTTTATTTTCTGCGGCGGCGAGTCACTTCAAGTGCACTACAAGGATGCGCGGTAACTTCTGAATCAAGAAGGTTGTGGACCATTTCTGACGCTTCTGGTACTCGGAGCACACCAGCTTTCCGTCCCCGTCGAGTACCTTCTCTTTGCTGAAGAGGTCGAAGCAAGTCTGAAAGCGCACTCTGCCCGTCTTGAACGGGATCGGGAGGCTCAGGTCCCAGAACGGTCTACGGGTCTAAGTCACTGGGTCTAAACTGGGTCTAAGAACGGGTCTAAAGTCAATGACGCGTGGCCGCACAGCGTGCGCCGCAGCGGGGACCTCGGCTGTCCGGCAAGCAGTTCTTCAGGAGCAGGAAACGCTTCCGGTCTTTCATCAGCTTCAGATGGGGTGGTCGTTCACAGATCTCGCTCACCGAGTCGAAGTGCATAAATATAAACGGACTCCGGATGCCAGCCAGTGTAAGCGGCGCATATACCATGCTTTTTCAGAACACACGCGATCAAATGACACACATTGCCCACACTTTGACCCAATCACTCACAAGAAACCAAAGCAATCGAAATGCACTAGCTTTGCGCAGATAGAAACTTCATGATTCTCCGGGATAAAATATTTTATTTAGCAGCGTCTTCAGCTTGCGTATGTCGAGCGATTCACATATTTTGCAGTGG